TAAAAAGAGTTCTACACATTAAAAGAAAAGCACATTCCTTATGTTCTTCACGGTGATCATATGTTAGAATAATAGGAAATAGGCACATGGTCATGCTTTTTCTAGAAACCCCCACCTAACCCATAAAAGAGAAATGATCTGTGTCCTATTATCTAAAGCATCCAAGAAAGAAAGTGTCTCAAAGGTCCTGTTCAGCGTTTGACAGTCATCACATCGTGATCATTCTTGCTTTGTCTGGCCAGATGGAGAATAGCTGCAATTCTTAGAGAGTTATAAAAATCACAAATATAGCATATGCAATACAATGACACCCTGCTTGTTTGTCAGAGGAATTACACGTTCTGGCAAGTCTTGGAAACTAACTTCATTCCAGAATAGAATACTACAGAACAGCTTCTTTCATTCGTGTGTTATTTAGAGATAAAGATCTTTTTAAATGATGCTAATGGTCTTAAAATATATAAAACAAAAATTGACACGATACAAGAAAAAGCAATAAACCCAAAATAATGTGTTTTTTAGCACAATTAATGGTTAAGATAGCAAATAAAATTTTAATGAGAATATAGATAATACAAACCACATAATTAAAAACTTAATCTAATGGCATATGAGGTGTCCTTACCCAATAATTAGAGAATATATATTCTCAAACACAATTGGAACACTCACAAAAATTGCCTATATTCTAGAACACAAAGCAAGACTCAATACCAATAATCTTTTATATAGACCACATTCTTTAACTATTGTTAGAAATCTAACAGTTGTTAGATTCGAACAGTTGTTAGAAATCATGTATTTTAAAATATGTAGGTTAGGCGCGGTGGCTCAAGCCTGTAATCCCAGCACTTTAGGAGGCCAAGACGAGAGGACTACCTAAGCCCACAGGTTCGAGACCAGCCTGGGCAACATGGTGAGACTCCCATCTCTACAATGAAAATCAAAAAGTTAGCTGGGCATGGTAGCACACCCCTGTAGTTCCGGCTACTTGGAAGGCTGGGGCGAAAGGATTGCCAGAGCCCAGCAGGTCGATGCTGGGGTGGCCATGAGTGTGCCATTGTACTCCAGGAGAGGGAGGGGTATCCACCAACAAGGGTACCTGCATAATGACCATTTATATACCTGACCCAGCAATCCCCCTTCTGGGAATATACCCAGAGGAACCCAAATCACTCTATGAAAAAGGTATCTGTACATGCATGTTTATTGCAGCATTATTCACAATAGCAAAAACATGGAACCAACTGTGCTACCCATCAAAAGAAGACTGGATTTTTAAAAATGTGGTACATACACACAATGGAATATTACACAGACATAAAGAAGGACAAAATTACGAACTTCACAGCAACTTGGATGAACTTAGAGTCTATAATACTAAGTGATCTATCACAGAAACCAAGAACTGAGTACCACATGTTCTCACTCATAAGCAGAACTTCAGCAATTATAGTACTGTAAGAAAAGGATTAGTAGTAGTAGGAAACTGCCAGGAGAGGGAGGGGTACCCATCAACAAGGGTACCTGCATAATGACCATTTATATACCTGACCCTGAATTGTACCCCATATTTTTAAAATAAAAAAATAGCCAACACAATATTGAACTGAAATAACATGGGAAGGCACATCCCCCCAGATTCATTAGATTCTGTATAAACCATGGTATGGGTGTACTGATATAAACCAAAGTGTATTAATGTAATTCCACCCATAAGGAAAAACTTGACAGAGGTAGCATATTAATTCACTCTCACCCACCACAGATGGGAGTGCTTACTGATTTAGAGGGGGGAAATGTAGCATTTGGTGAAGTTGAAGGCATATAAATCGATGACCCAACAAACTCATTCCTAGATATAAATTATAAAGAAACTCTCACGTGTGTCTAGGAGAAAGGTGCAAGAACATGTATAGCAATATTGTAATAGTGAAATATCAAACACAACTTAACTGTTCATCAACAAAATAAGGTACCTATATATTGTGTATTTGCCTATAACAGAATAGCAGTTATCAGGTAAATTTTTGACTTAAGAAGTGTCAAAAATAAATTGATTGGAGCCGGACTCGGTGGTTCAGCCTGTAATCCCGCGCCTTTGGGA